GTCAGCCCGACCGAAGTGCTAACGGATGCTGAAGAAGAGGGGACCCTGCTGCATTACAGGGACAACTCTTATGTATGTAAGATGTACTTATTGATTAATCTAAATGAATAAGCACTTTTAGTTTGGTCTCATTTTACAATCATCGTTAGCTCGATATTTTAAGACTTAGCATAATTTTGCCAAACGTGATTTATCTCAATATTAAAATATATAAAAATCATTATACAAATAGTTTATTGTATGTATATTTTACAATAATATTTGACATGAAATGTCCAAAAACACATGGGTAGAAATGTATTATTTTATGAGATCAATCAACAAATGATTTATAAATGGTGACATTTGCATGTGTGGATGCGCTGTCAGCGTGAGACCATGTGACGCACGTTTCTAGAATGGATTATATATTAAGAAACTGAAATGCAGTGGAATCTAAAACCTTACTCACACGACTCATTAACGGATGGCCTTATTGATTGTGTTATTATGCAATTGTTGGAGTTTTCCTAGTAAAAAAATGTTTAAATATTTGAATGACTCATACAACCAAATAAAGCATCTCATGTTGGCTCTCCTTTGTGCTTCTTCCTCCCTCAGAAGTCTTCCTCCTCTCCTCTGAGCGGCCACAGTGACCCAGTTCCCCGATGATCAGAGCTCCTCAGCCAGGCCTTTAGCCCGGCACTTCACATACACAGCGACTGTGTTCTCAGGCTGGGTTCATTAAGCATGTGTTTCAATCACCATGTTTAGGTGAGGCTCTTTGCTGCATGTCATCCCTCCTCACATTTCCAAAGACCTGATGTATCAATAGCAAGAAGCCCAAATCAAATGAAAACCCTAACCTGTGAGTAGCAGATCTAAACCTGATCCCACAGGAGCGCTCCCCCCCAGCCACTGGCCTCCTCAACAGGGCAGGACCCCCCCGACACAGACTCACACTACACGTTACACACTGTCAGCGCTCCATTAGGCCTTGTGAGTATTTCTCCTCCTCACGCTGCGCACTGTGAGTACAAATGTAATACAGAGCTTTTTACACAGCCATTTGTATTTTTTTTACAATTGTTTATATTTATGTTTCTTGTAGACCTTCTTTTTGGTTTTTACATAATATTGTTTTTGTTTAATATTGTATTTTTTTCTTTTTTGATATCTGTTCCTTTGTTTCTGTATGCACCAGTTAAACACAATTCGGATTCTTTTTGTGATGTTTCACCAAAGTAGTTAAAAAATCGTCATAAAAAATAGATAGATTTGAAGTTAGCTAAACTTTACATTTTTTAACATTTAGGCTTCACATTTGTCCACTGTCGTTGATTCTCTAGCAGTTATACGTGTCCTTTAGTTACTGGCTGCTGTGAGGACAGTTGCAAAAGGTCAGGCTTGATTTATGACAAAACTACATTTTGCATCATTCTGACGGAATAAATACAGTTTCCAAATGAATATGTTGATGCTATGTATGACACAATGTGTTCATTATTAAATGTGTCAGCAGATGACGGCTGCATTATTCTGTGTACGGTCAAACATGGTCTGCAGTTCTGTGATGAAGCGATTCACAGTGAGGAGGGGAGCAGCAGCTCTGAGACCCACTAAAGCTTTTTGCTTCATAAAAGAAGTGAAAGTGAATCCATTGTCATAGAAGGTGAGTGTATTTCAACACAAAGATGATCACAATTATGAATGCTGATACCACTCTTCTGTTCTCCACATGTGCTTCCAGCCCTTTTGACTATTTTGTTATTATGTCTCTTCAAAACGTGATGTCGGTGTGAGGCAGCAGGGGAGAAAGGGGAGGTTAATCCCAGTCTAATACACTGATGCAGCCCAGGACCCGGCTGCCATGATTGTGTTATCTGCAGCCAACATTTGGGTCTCCCTCAATTTCACCCCGGCAGAAGGTCTGGGAGAAAGTGCAGAGCGCTGCCCGGGGAAAGAGTTATTAAAGCTGCAGAACTTCAGCTGCGTAAAGCTCCTCCGTCACTTCACTGAATTTGTTTGAAGTGCTCTCTCCATCCTCACTGTCAACCTTTTTTCTTTCAACCGGGCTTATTCCACACTCCCAAACTGATACTCGTTTTTCCAACAGTGGGTTGTGCATATCTTTGGGTAGCAGCATGTTGACAGAATGCTGCCTTAAACTGCCGATGAAAGAGAAGGCAGCAGTCTCCAGAGGTCACTTACACCGTCCATTACACCACCCACATGAGATGTTAGGTCCTATGAACACATATTAAGTGGAAACTATCATATTTACATGACAGTAATGGGATGATTATGATGATTTGGTTGCAGCTTTTCACACAGCTTCCAAACAATTCAGGTGAATATAATAATAACAGCTGAGCAGAACTGCATATTAGTCAGTTTGGTTGGAGAGAGATGAGGACAGAAGCATGTAGGCTACTGTAAGAGCTGCATGCTATGGAATCATCTCATAAATGCACATCGGAATATGGATAGAAAAGCTCTTCAGTAAATATTGATTTAAAGTGCTCTTTTTTTTGGTGTGTTTAGGTCATTGTGTGACAGAAATGAAGATGATTAACCCTCCTGTCATGTTGGGGTCAAAACTGCCCGATTCACTACTTTCATCAGTCATGCATAATGTGTTTTACATGTAATGCCTCAAGGCCTCATGCTATCCTCCAAAGTAGGAACATATACAGTTACTGATCACCACTTTCATTGAATGTTGAGTGGCTTGGTCCACTTTGTAGCACCTGAGGTGTTCCCGCTCAAAAGGGACCCTCATAGGAAATGAATGGGTAAAGATTGTGTCTCTCCATCAGATCATTCAAAACCAAATCGACAACCATGTTGATTTTGTAATACATTTTCAGTATTCTTTGTATATTTACTGCCGTTATTAATGTAAATATTTTGAGATATTGATTACAGCTTAAAGGGAGTGATGATGATGAATGGTTTTTGTGTTGAGCAGTTAAAGCAGACTGCTCAAATCTCACGGGGAACACCAAAGCAAGGGGAGAAAGGAACAAGCCAGGGGTTCATTTGCAGCTAGTTTAATTTTGCTATATATTGATGCGAGCATGAAAACAGTAGATTATCTGATGGAAAAATACTCATCCATGTGTTGAGTTTCATTCAGCCGAACACTGCTACTCACATTCTCCCAGATTCTGCCAACATGCCACCAAAAACTATATTAAAAGCAAATCAAATGAATATTTAAATACAATCCAAACAACACGAGAGGAAACCTTCAAATGTGGAGAGTTTGCGCCGCGGGCAGCACACCGCAGAGCGCAGAGATGAAAGTGAAAAGAAATAAAAGGCTCAATTTAATCTGCTTTAAAGCCTCCACAGAATGCATGAGCCTGGAACTGTGAGAGTGAGGGCTGATAGGGGATAAATATATTTCTTACCATGCCTCGGAGCTATTACACCCCTCTGCAACACTGACGACTATTCATCAGACACCGGTTTCATTACCAGCTGTAATAAGCTAAATCTGCAAATTATGAAAAGCCAGCCGGGATGACAGGGAGACACCGCTGATCTCTGAGGAACAGGAAACACTTGATGGCGTCTGAGAAACATGTCAGCAGTGGTGGTCAGGAAACAGTGAGGCCCCAACCCGAGGACCGGCTGATCACCCCCCCACACACACACACTGAGGAACTGAGCCAGCACCACACTGTGTCCAAAGCCAACACTGACAAAACCACTCAATATGTAGAACGTTTATCTGAAAGTTCACCAAATAAATCTGGGTATTTTAGACAACTGAAACTTTAATTAAATGTATTTTGTCATCAGATTTCACATAACTGTATAAGGTTAGTTGAAAGCAATTACATTAAGGTTAAATACAACATATTATGTCCAACTTAATATTATTGCCTTACTAACCTAATGTGAAATGTGTTGACATAATACATTTAATTAAAGTCAACATTTCAATTTCTTCAGTGTAATATAAATACGCTGTTATTTAGAAATATGATAAAGAATGTACCTAAATGTCCTCCTAAGCATCAGGGCAGACCCCATGTTCCTCTGGCCTATCAGCCTCACGTCCTCCTAAGCATCAGGGCAGAGCCCATGCTCCTCTGGCCTATCAGCCTCACGTCCTCCTAAGCATCAGGGCAGACCCCATGTTCCTCTGGCCTATCAGCCTCACGTCCTCCTAAGCATCAGGGCAGACCCCATGTTCCTCTGGCCTATCAGCCTCACGTCCTCCTAAGCATCAGGGCAGAGCCCATGTTCCTCTGGCCTATCAGCCTCACGTCCTCCTAAGCATCAGGGCAGACCCCATGTTCCTCTGGCCTATCAGCCTCACGTCCTCCTAAGCATCAGGGCAGACCCCATGTTCCTCTGGCCTATCAGCCTCACATCCTCCTAAGCATCAGGGCAGACCCCATGTTCCTCTGGCCTATCAGCCTCACATGCTGAGCCTTCACATTCACAGCCTTCACATTCTGCACATCCCATTAAGATCTTGATATATTTCAACATGTTTTCATATAATTGTACGTTTAAAGCTAATTTAATTTGTGCATCTTTTTGTCATGGTGGATTCACTTAGGCCTAAAAACCAAATATATATCTATTTCGATCGCATTTAAAAAAAGTTTTAATTCTGAAGCGAACCAAACCCGTTTCTCGGCTGAACTTGTGTGTGTGTGTGTGTGTGTGTGTGTGTGTGTGTGTGTGTGTGTGTGTGTGTGTGTGTGTGTGTGTGTGTGTGTGTGTGTGTGTGTGTGTGTGTGTGTGTGTGTGTGTGTGTGTGTGGGGGGGGGGGGGGGGGGGGGGCGCGCGCTGTCAGGCTGCTGTAATTGATATTGACTGGTACAACGCTCCTCTGTCAGCAGTGCCACGGGAGTACCCCCCCCCACACACACACACACACACACACATATAAATAATGAAGAGAAGAGCGCGCGGAGACTAAACACCGTTTAGGCCCAATTTGTAGCCGATTCCCCGCGCGCCCTCTCCTCCATGCCCTCGCGCCGGCAGCGGCCTACCTTTGTCTCCCAGGATCCCGTCGATGCTGTGTTTGCTCTTCTTCTCCCCGTCTTCATCCTTCTTATCACACTCTTCCTCATCATCCTTTTTTCCAAACCGAGCTCGAAGTACACGGCTGATCGAACTCACTGAAAACACAGAGGCAGCTTCAGCAGGCTGTTCATCACAACAATAATCCTCATAAAAACACAATAACAACAATAACAATTTATATAATAATAGCAATAATTATAATCAACAGTCAAAATAATAATAAAAAACTATAACAAGTAATAACAATAATAATAAGCGTTATATAAAATAGCAATAATTATAATCATTATAACAATAATAGCAATATTTATAATCAACAATAATATTAATAATAATAAAAAATAAAAACAATAATAATAAGCGCTATATAAAATAGCAATAATTATAATCATTATAACAATAATAATAATAATAATAATAATAGCAATATTTATAGTCAACAATAATATTAATAATAATAAAAAATAAAAACAATAATAATAAGCGTTATATAAAATAGCAATAATTATAGGCCTAACAATAATAATAGCAACAACAACAATAATTACATAACCGTGAATAATGATAACAACAATAATCATAATCAATAACCACCGTTAAATGATAATTAATAAACAGTGTTCTCTCTCAGTCTCTGTCAGTGAATCAGCGGGTATTGAAGGTGGATCTTACCGGAGCAGGCCTCACCTGAAGGGACCGAGCTCCGGTCACACACGCCGTCCTTCAGCAGCTTGTCCCGGATCTCCCAGCTGAACATGCCGGGGTTGTCCCGCTTGTACTCCTCTATCCGCTTCTCTACGTCCGGCGTGGCGACCTGCTGCAGGGGGGGGGGGGGCAGCAGGACAGGTGATTACAGGCCCTGAAATGTGTCAAAGTAGCCTATCTTTATATCATTATCCTGACACTGTGCGGCTCCTCACCCTGGGCTTGCTGCCTCCGATGGCCCCGGGCCGGATGGAGCCGGTCTCCTGGTAGCGGCACAGGATCTTGGACACGCAGCCGTGAGAGACGCGCAGCTGGCGGGAGATGACACAGGGCCGAATCCCATGGTGGGCCATCTCCACTATCTTGTGTCGGATGTGGTTGGGCAGCGGCCGGCCGTTAATGAAGACCCCCCCCAGCTGGTTGACCCGGCCCTGGCCCAGAGGAGTGGACACTGGGGGCCACAGACACACTCAGTTTGAGTTTTAGGTGATCGGTAATCATGAGGAACTGTCGAAGGAAATGTTCTGATGGAAATGTTGAGTTTCTTCTAGGCCTACATGTTATAATTCGAATAAAATGAGGCCTGAAAATATCCACAGGCCTCCCGATATATTGTAGCATATATGTATTCTCTACATGGCTGCAGTAAATGGACATCTGGGTTAACAGAGGACCGGATCCACTTCACAGGATCTGAAGAGCTCCATTATTCAGCAGCACGCTGTCCAAATATTGGAGTAATCCTCCGTGCTGTTTATTCGATTCATTTCATTTCCACTTGAAAGACCCCATGATTTGGTTAGAGACTGTTAAGTGTTTTATTGGGATTTAGACTCAATTTAAATATGATGACAACGTGTCCACTGGATGATAATACATGAAGTGCAGACCGGGTCCTGTAATATTTAGCCAGTAAAATAATAATATAATAAGGATGAAAACAAAGAAATGTTAATGTGTGAATTTTTTCAAAACAAACAAAAGTTGAAGCGGCCTAATGTCGCCCCGTGAAGACGGACCGGGAAACTCGATTGCACAACGAAAAATAACACAGTATTTTACGCACGAAAAACATGGAGAAAAAACAGCTGTGCCTTCCTGAAGTGATTTTTAAATCTGCACAAGGACGCCTTGTCTATTTACTAGTCATGTCTTTCATTTTTAACTCTGCATATTTGTAATTGTTCACACAGCTCTCGGGTTCTCAGTGTAAAGGCCGGCAGGCTCCTACCTTCCAGAGGGAATCCGGTTCGGGGGTAGTTCTGTCCGGGAGCAGGGCGCATCATCCGCGGTACCGTTCCTGGCAAAGACGACATTAATACAAAAACACACACAAAAAGAAAAGAAAAGCAAAAAGACGGACACGGTTAAAGTCCAGTTCAAGTGCAGACTTGTTGGTCACACGTGTGAGGAGGGACACGGGGGGGGGCTCTGAGGGAGCAGTGGAGCGGTCCTCACATCTGACAGCAGCCTTTTAACGGTGTGAGGCTGGATCACTGACGGGGCCCGGATAAGTCTGGACCATCCGGGCTGCAGGGGGGGGGGGGGGGGGTCGCAAGCACCGATAGGTTCTTGGAGCTTTCTCTTTTTCCCTAGAGAAAAGCTCCAACAAGTTGAAGCAGCCAATGGGAACAAGGGATAAAGACACCAACACACACACACACACACACACACACACACACACACACACACACACACACACACACACACACACACACACACACACACACACACACACACACCACACACACACACAGACGCATACACACACACATATATATATATTGACACTGGCAGCTTATTTTCAGTAAAATACATGAACAAGTAAATGTGAAAGCTCCGTTAAAAACTGTATACAAATATTGTGTAATATTAAAGGCTATTATTTAAGCAGACGCATTACACTCCACAACTGCTACCATTATAACGAGTTAATGGGAGAAAAAAACATTTCACATTTTTCATGGAATCATCTAAAAACAAACACAATTCAACCTTTATTAGCATAATCTCAGTGTCTGTCTGTCTGTCTGTCTGTCTGTCTGTCTGTCTGTCTGTCTGTCTGTCTGTCTGTCTGTCTGTCTGTCTGTCTGTCTGTCTGTCTGTCTGTCTGTCTGTCTGTCTGTCTCTCTCTGTAAAAGTTCTTATGTGGAGCCATTTGCTTTTTCTGGTACTGATTGCCGAGTCAACAATAAAGCAGTTTGGTGTTTACGGTCATTTGGCACGTGTATTATACAGTTTTTTTCAATTGCTAAAACACATTTTTGACAACAGGGCTCATTTTCCCAAAACACTTAACACAATTCGCAAAACACCAAATTGTTCTTGCAAAATGAAGCACTGCACCCAAAACTATCTACACTTACCAAAACCTAACTTTTGCACCAAATGGCACACATTTCACTCATAGTACAAGCCACTTTGTCCCACCAACACACTGTGGCGCTTTATCTAAAGCACACTCATCTTTTCCCTTTATGTAGATAATTCTGCATATACAGATTGTTCAAGTCAAACATATGTGCAGAGACAAAAATATACTGTTGTTATACTTTTACATTCCTCCCAAATAAATTGGTGCAACGTTCATGCAGAACCAACCCGGTATCACGGCAAGACGTGAACATGTGACGATTTACCATGCTGGGAGACGTGAAGATGTCACGATTTCGTCCCTTCAAACGTGACAGTTACACGGTATTGTTAACCCACGTTAACCAGTGGAGAAATAACCGGAAATGCCAAGCAAATGCTACCCCGACGGTCGGTTGTTATTGTCAATATTAATATAATAATGATTTATTTTGTAATAGTCACACTCGATTACGCCGATGTTCTTGTTGCCCCAGCTGGTCGACACCTCTTTTAGCAGAAACAAAGGCTACATTAATGTATTAAATCGATGTTAATCCATGTGTATGGATGTGGAATTAACGGAGGTGACATTGTGCGATTGCGTTGCCAGGCAACAGCTTCGGTTCATGTTAATTTACAAACTCTTCATCATTTTTATTATTATTGTGGCGGCTCGGAAGTAGACGAGAATAGCCGATTGCAGCTGGGGGAGGTCTCTAAAAGCTTGCCTGAAGTCGGACAGCTCGGAGTCGGCCTGACTTGGTTTGCAATGGTGGAATTTGCGTTCTTCGTTGCAGATGAACAATTATTATATCACTACAAATGAATGACTCAAGTGTCTGTTCATTTTAATACAAATCAATACAAGGGGGGTTGAATCATACATGTAAAAGACAGAACAACTACTTCCGTCAGTGGTCTTGACCATTGTATTT